GTGCACGTTTTCCTCTTGTGCCTCTTGTTCTGGTTTAATCCTGAATGGACCTCTTCCATCGTCCCATGAACTTCTGCTGCACCATAGTCATGGCATTTACTTATTATCTTGCAAACCTGTATGTTATGAGACCTTTCAAACGCACTCACCACTTTCTGTGCACCAGGTCGGTCCAGTGAGCACAGGGGTCCCACAGATCGCAGACTGCATTGGGACACAGAACAAGTGGCTGATGTATCCGCAGGGAAGAGAAAAACCTCCCTTGCTGTTATCACATACACATGATCTGCTTTCGAACCTTCCGGTTGAGGGGAGTAGAAAGCATTTGCCTAATAGCCACGAATGGCAGCCTGTGCGGATCTGTCTGGGTCGTGGGCTCAGCAGCTGGGCCTCTTTGTTTATGGTGGCTCCCAGTCATAACACAACTCACCTGACTTCAACAGAAGCCATGAAACTAAATGAAGATGTCACGAGCACCATGACCCCTGCACCCTTCAGGCCTTTGTTGGTGCCAATCTCCAATTCCTCTCAGAATACAATATTGTTTTAAGTTGTCTCGAACAAGGAGTATGGGGAATTGCCAATGTTGGTCCTCTTACCATTGTGATTCTAATGCTACTCCATTTATACCATATTATACCCATTAGATCACATCTACCCCCACCATTCATTTAGGGACAGAGAAGTACTGAGACCTATTGAAAATCCAATGTGATCCAGACTTGGCTTAGAACTCTTACCACCCACCTGGCATCCAGGTATTCAAGTAACCTTTCTCCAGTGCTGTTTCTCTGGTAAAGGATTATAGATCTCAGAAAAGACTGGGGAGTGATTCATATATACACTCGGTGATATTGCACAGCTCCTATTTGTTGCCATTTATGCCCTTCAAGTTGAAACTGACCCATAGCTGACCCTCCAGCAGGTTTTCAGAGGCTGTAAATCGCATGGAAGGAGACCGCCCATCTTTCTCTCACTGTGCAGCTGGTAGATTCAAACCACACGTCATTGGGTTGGTAGCACAATTCCTTGCCACTAGGAAGCTCTGGTGGCTAAATGGGAAGAAGTTATACTATCTCAAAGGTACGCAGTTCGAATCCACCAGCTGCTTAGTGGGAGAAAGGAGGATAATCTCCTCCAGTGCGACTTCCTGACTCTGAAAACCCACTGGAGGGTCAGCTATGGGTCAGTTCCAACTTGATGGTACAGAACAAGAAGGCTGCCAGCTAGGAGACATTAAGTTGACTATGACTCATCACAACCCCATAAACAAGAGATGAGTCGTAGTCAATGAGTCTTCCTCCAATCCTGATGCCACATTCTTCATATAGTCCAGCTTCTTGAATAATTTATTCAGCGTACAGTTTGACCTGATATGAAGAAAGAATACCATTTCTTGATTTTAAGCCAGGCACTGTTCCCTCGCTCTGTTTGGACAACTGCTCCTTGGATTATATGTAAGTTTGGCATCAGCACAATTGTTACTGGATTCCCATTCTCTCAATGTTAGCCATAATTTGTTATGACCTACACAGTCAAATGCCTTTGTATAATCAATAAAACTTCTGGTATTCTCTGCTTTCAGTCAACATCCACCTTGAATCTGTAATATCCCTGGTGTCACAGTCTTCTTTTGAATCTAGCTGGAAATCCTGGCAGTTCCCTGTCAATGTACTGTTCCAGCCATTTTTAAATCATCTTCAGCAAGGTTTTACTTGCATGTGGTATTACTGATAGTGCTCTAAAATTTCCCCATTGTGTTTGGTCCCTTTTTTGGCAATGCAAACAAATATGGATTTCTTCCAGTCAGTGGCCATATATTTGGACTTTATCTAAAGGCACCAAATTCCTCTTCTAGCAATGGACCTTGGGCCTGTGAACTGGAAAATGGATGAAGGACAATAATTTTCCAGTATGATGACTGGCAATAATGTGTTGCCTTTTTTTAAAAAAAAAAATATGACTATAAGCTATCCTGTCCCTCAGAACACCATGATCTAGTATCAGTCTTTACCACAAATCCCTAAAGTCAAGGCACCTGCTACTCTTTTCTCTTGATCCTCATTTTAGCCCAGCATTCTTGCGCATGGTGACGGAATACAATGCTGCAAAAGGCAGGATGTCTCGGTTTACCTCCACCCACAGAACCTTGACTGCCATGTGCCAATGACTGATAGCCAGTCCCCAAATCGCACGTGGATGGTCAGCTTTCTAGGGTCACTTCTGCTACCACCTACTTAGTCACAGCAGGAGGGAGGAGCTGGGGAGAGTCAAACAAGGAAGCACGATCACAGCCACAAGCACTGAGGTGTGACTCACATCCAAGTTGTGACAAAAATACAAAACACATACGAAACACCTCTCCGAATGATCAACCCTAGGATCAATGGAGCATTTTTCCATCATGGCAAATGAGAGCCAATGGTGTTAAGTCCCCAGCACTTCTGAGTTGAATGCATTTACAGCTGAGTGGGGTCCAAGAGCATAAAATCAGTTACCCAATGTGGACAGTGTGGGCTGGAGCTCTCTGATTAAAAAAAGCTTGGGAGGAGGAGCGGCATCCACTTCCGTAATACCTTGCCTCTGGAAACCCTATGAACCTGGAGAGAGGATGAAAGACACACAAGTGTTGAGGTCTCCTTCACAGGGTCGCTATGAGTTGCCTGTGACTCGATGGCACTTAACAACAACAACATGGAAAGTACTGAAGACCAGTGCCATCAAGTGATCAAAGCTTCCACAGAGTTGTCCTGTGGCAAGAGCTGGGATCAGAGGCCATGGGGGTTGGAGGCAGCTCAATGGAAGCATCAATCCACAGGTGGTGTCACTGTCACTGAGCCACTGCCCTGCTGACCGGCATTTACCATGTGGCCATGATTAGGAGGCCACAAATGGCATCAGGAAAGACTTGTTTTGTGTGATACTGCTAGTCTTCTTGTATCTTTTTTTTTAAATAAATCTTGAAAAGTAGTGTGATAGGGGGACTGAACGGCAATGTGAATTGCTTTTCAACAAGAAACGTGAATTGTGGGGGGAGGTAGGTAGAGAGGGAAATGTGCAACAATGCATGGATGGAAATCTAAGTTCTCTATAAATGTTCATTAAAATATCAATTAAAAAAATTTTAAAAAGAAAAAAAAAGAATTATTAGGACAAAGGGTCTAAATGTTTAAGGTCCTTAATACAGAATGCAAATTAATCCCAAAAAGTCTGTTCTGATTTGTGTTCTACTGGCTGTTTACGTGTGAGATCACTCCCTTTAATCAGAACTCAACATACTGTTAATATTCTAAACACGTGTGTTTTGAAGACTTGCATGAAGGAACCACAGAGAACTATTATATAACTTGAGTGTTATATAACACTGCATTCCCTACACGCTCTCCAACCTCACGGGGTCAACTGCCTTTTGGAGACTTCAATGTTCTTCTCCTCAGTGTTTACTTAGAGGAGACTAAAGACAGTGCTGGTTCTGTGGGATAGAATAGCGGATCTCGCCACAACAGTATTTTCCCAGCTCTTTGCCAGTCTGTCTTCCTGGAACTTCCAATAAATGTCTCTCTAAAATCAGCCTTGTTTATTGGATATCTCACTTCATTTGTAATGTCCACAGTTGACACCTAGCCTTGGCCTTCCGGGGAGGGTGTGGGAGGGTCAGAGGCTGGTATTAGCCTCTTTTTCCTCTCCCCCCACTGTAACAGCTACACCAACCAGCCCAGTTATACAGCCGTGAGATAAGTGGCCTGGAAAGATTCACTTATCTGAGAGAAGGGAAATGCAGTTTCGCTGAGTTTCACTGTAATAGTACTCAGTCTAATGAAGGCATCTCGCATGCACTGAAAGGCCATCATCAAACTCTTAGGCTTAGCTAGACTTGACTCACAGTCCAGCAGCACGTCTGTATTACCACTGCCAAAGTCACAGGCAACCACCCAGGAGCAGGGAGAGGAAACGGCTGATCTGGGCATGTCCAGGGGACTGGTTGTCGTGGTGCCTGGGAATCCAGGCCGTGTTTATACAGGCAGCAGCTCCTCCGTTAAGCCCAGGTTTTGACAGCTGCTTCTCTAAGGGATGGACCTGGCCACGCCCGGAGGAGGTGCCCACTCAGAGCTCGGGAAGTAGCCTGCCAGAGTTCCACTCACAGTGTGTTCTTTCCATTAGGTGATAAATTCCTGACTCCTTCCCTCGCAGAGAGAAGTGCCACGGCTGAAAAGCGTCTCCATGAATTGATGCCTTCTCCAGAAACTCTGGAGTTTCAGTTCCCTGGAAAAAACCAGGCTGCTTGACTTATGAATAGACTACTTCCAACAAAATGCACCATGAAGGAAGGAAAAGGGACGAGGCTCCTGGGGCCACCAGGAATGGCCTCTGTCCTCCCCTCGACAGAGCAAGAAAGGAGGCTGAGTAATCAGACGACACTGTCTCAAGCAGCCTTCTTAATGCTGAAAAAAATGAAACGTTGCCAAACACCAGGGAGTGGTTATAAATTATTAAGTCATTTCAAATGAGTGATAAGAAAGCTGGGCTAAAGGCCAACATGTGGTTGACCTTGATCGTGGGAGCTCTGCCTGCCTCTCCTGGGGAGCAGGGATGAGCCAGGTCTCTGTCTTGGGGCGGCGACGCCCTGGGTCTGTGCTTGAGCCCAGGGCTGCCTCCCCGTTCTCCTTTCAAAAGCTCCCAGACACAAAGGTAAATTCACTTTTCCTAGAGATTCTTATTCTGAAAGCCACACAGGAAAAGAAAAAATTCTAAATGTACATCACGGGTTTTCCTTTAGGCCGTTTTCTGCGAAGCCTACACTCAAGTCTGTTGCTTTTCTATCGTGGCTTGGGTGAACGCTGTTGTCCTGAACGCCATCAGATGACAGGCCCCAGCAGGCTGGGCCTCTCCCTTGGCAGCAGACCTCCGATTTGGTTGTCTTTCATTAAGGCAGGGCTGGACCCCATGACAGCTCAGCAAATGACCTTTACAGCTGAAGAACTGGAACCACACCAAAACACACCAGAAAATAGACTTTCATTTTACCTGTACAAATGTGTTAACCTTAAAGTCTTAACAGTTAAGAAAGATATATACAAATGTGGATGTGAAAGGAGGGGTCAAGAGCGATCTACCGCTGAGGGCGGGGTGTGCCGTCAGCCCAGGAATCCGACTTTCTGCCGCTTGGGCCCCAGGCTCTCCTCCTTGTGCAGGACGCTCTGCAGGGAGGCGTGCAGCGCCTTGCCCACGCGCTTGCCGGTCTGAGGACAGAGGAAGAGAGAGAGAGTGCATCAAGGTGAGGTGCCCACTCGGACCATGTCCACCTCCCAGCCTACCTGCTTGTTTCACACAGTCCACCCGCCTTAGATGACTTCATCTGATTAAACCAGAAACAAACCCCAAGCTCTAACAATGACAATCCCATTCTGGAAAGCCCTTCATGCTGTTTTAAAAAGATGCTGGCCCCGAGGCAGGAAGCAGCAAAGTCACTTCAGCCATTAGCCTACACTCAGCATTTCCGCTGCTGTTACTGTAAACGGCAAGGTTGCCCCCCAAATCCACATGTGGGTTGCAGCCAGCCAACGCTGTACCGCAGTGAGAGGCAGAGGGCCACCCTAGAGATAGGAGGGTCTGTCTGATGAAGGAGCAGGGGGTTCAAAAAACAAGTTCACCTCCCACTGAGCCTAGAGGGAGACCTGCTCTGATGTGAACAAAGCCATTGTCTGACTGGACGGAACCTTGGTGCCAAGAGGGGCTCAGGGAATTGACAGGTTGGAGACCAGGCCCCAATTCAGTAATCAGTCCTGACATGGCAGACCTCAGGGGCATCGCAAAAGCATCCCAGTATATACAAATCTTTCTTGACAGTCCCTTTCATCTACTAGTTTCTGGGCTCCTCAATCACTTTAAGAACACAGTCAGTTACACTACTCCATCAAGCCCTGCACCCTGCCATGGCAGTTTTAGTCTGGCTCTGCCTCTGGTTTGATTTTCAGTAATGTTGTCAAGGAGCAAGGCCAGGCCCAGACCCCACACTCCAGTCTGCCCGAGGATGTGCCCTCTCTTCTGATCCCTAACTCATATGGAATAAGACTCCAAGTCAGACTGAAAACGCTCAGGCAAAGAGCTCAGTCCAACGGCTGAATGAAAAGATTTTTAGAGGAAGAAAAAGAAACCCAAGTTCATCAAATATGGATCACTGGTTATATGCACAATGTAGGAGGGTGACCCCAGGACTGGAGGGTCTTTCATATCTCTGAGCCTTGACCTGAAGAAAGGAGACTGCAAAGGTCGGGGCAGCAGCCCAGCAATATCCCGAGGGTCCTCCTGCTGCACCGTTAAAGGTACTTCCTGCTCCTGGACACTGAGCACCTGCACAAGACCCCCTAGAGACAGGGCTCAGGGCCTGGCCCCACACAGAGCTTGCAGACCGAATCCCTGAGGAGGCAGGGGTGTTAGCTAGCAACCCTGCTTGCTGTTAAACAATGATCTCTGGGCGTGTGTTGTTACACAACAGCTACATTAAACAAACAAAAACATCAGCTCCAGCTAACTCTGTTCCTGGCAGATCAGGCATCATTGGCTTGGTCCCCACTGTGGAAGTGGACAGTGGGGAAAGCCGGGGAAGACACAGGGGAGCAGCACCCAGCCCTTCTGGTCCTGCCCTTCGGAGCCCAGGCCAGAGGGGGACGAAAGACGCACAGAGCAGCCAAGTACCTGAATGGTGCCACAGGATGGGCTGATGGGGCCCGAGGAGAGCCACCCACATCCCCGGAAGTGGCCCCACGTACACCCCCATTCCCATTTGTCTCCTTTTCAACACCTCTGGGCCAGAAAAATAGGAGACTGTCATCTTCCAGACCACTGGTGCCATCTGTATGCACCTCCTTCAGGGATGGGAAGTAGTCAGCCAGGGATTCAATTCCCTTGTCAAATCAGAAAAGCTTGGGATCTCAGTTACACACGACTTCCTCCTATTCTAGCACGCTCATTTAAGAATGGGAAACTTGGGGTCAAAGAGGGGAAGGGCCCCGCTGAGGAGAAGCAGCTGTTTCTGCAGGTTCCTCACTCTGCATCCAGACACCCTTCCCCCCCCCGGTCACCCTTGACTGCTCTGTAGACCCCTGGACAGCAGCCACCCATCAAGCTCCAGATTGGGGGTCAGGGGGCCTGCCCCTCAGAACCAGCCTCACCTCCATCATTTCAAAGATGCTCTCCGGGTCCAGGCTGCCCTTGCCCACTTTCCTCATGCCTGTCACGACCCCCTTGCTGGTCACGGACATCAGCAAGCTGGCCAAGGAGCAGGCCTCCTCCTGAAGGGTGGCGTCCACCACGTGTCGACAGCCGATCTGGAAAGGCAGGGCAGCAGAGCACAAGTGGGTCACACCGCATGTTAACACACCTGCAAGGAATACTCAACAACCCTATTGCAGGTGACAGCGTAAATACCGTAACAAAGAGAAATACAAAACTAACTGAGGAGTGGGGTGAGGGCATCTAGAACATTCAAGGGACTGTTGGGACTACACTGTGTGCCCCAAAATGTATGTGGCTTTCTAACACTTGTGGCTATGACCCTCGTTAGCAGTAGTTTTCTGCATGACATCAACGAGCCCTTATCAGTGCAGGATATGATCAAATCTTGAGCTATGAAGATGCAGACAGACACAGACACACAGACATACACACACACAGAGAGAGAGAGAGACAGACAGACAGACAGACAGACATGTCCCTGAGGATTATCACAGAAATGAGGAGCTCCTGGAGCTACTGGCAAGGAATCAAGCATAGCTGAGACCCAGCTTAGGACTTTAGTCCTTAAAAATGTGAGAAAACACTGGAGCTCTGGTGGCCTAGTGGCAAGAAACTGCACTGCAATCCCAGAGGTATGCGTTTCGAAACCACCAGATGCTCTGCTGGAGAAGGAGGGGCAATCTCCTCCTGTACCAGTCAGATCTAATTTGACAGTACACACACAAAACTGTGAGAAGACACATTACTGCTCTTCAAAGCCACTCACTTGTGGTATTTGTACTATGGCAGCCCTTGGGAAATCAGGCAGTCCACAGAGGGTCAAAACCAAACTCAGCCTGCTTCCACCGAGTCATACGAGAGGCCACATGAACATTTCACTAAAGGTGCACACCTTTAGTCACCCCAGTATGCCTGAACCCTTCATCAGACACCCCAAGTACATAACATGACTTTCGGGGAGTGAAACCAGGCAAGGGCAATGTGATACAATGAATTTTGTGTGGAATTAGTGCCAATACAGCACTGTTTGCACAGAGCTGGGCAGTGTGAGTCACCCACTGACATAAGGCCCTCAGAACTACATTGCCATAACAACTACACTTGACATGTTAGACACCCAAGACCTTCTTAATCCCCTTATTTCACAGATGCGGCCATTAAGGCCCACACTGGGACTGGTCTTGATTCTCAAGACAGGAAACCTGCTGGAGGCCGGGTTGGTGAGAGGAGTAGATCCTTATTACTCAACTACTCTAGACTCTACAGACTGGAGATTACAGGAACTATGCACACAAAGGGCTTCCGTGAAGTGCCTGGTATCCAGAGGAACTTAACAGGCTCTAGCTATTAGTACTCTGAACCTATTCCTGTGTTTCTGTCACATCATCCAACTAGAAAGAAAAGGTGGAGTTATTCATGGTAGTAGTTTCTCATATGATCAAATTCTTGGACTTGAGTTAAAACCACTTAGGTTTCTTGAAATGATAGCTTCTCAATATATGATGTATTTGGGGCTAGGGTCAGGGAGAACTACACACAGAGAGAAGACACAGCCCATTCCACGAAAGCTCATACTTTGCACAGCGTGACAATGCAGGGGACATTCTCCACATTCAGCCGGATGCAGTCATATGGGTCATCAAACAGTTCAATATCTTTTGTCCCCTCTTCATCTTCCATAACACGAACCTTTGGTATCCTGGAAACAGAGCACAAGGGAAATTTCCACTTATGGGGAGAAGAAAGAACTTTTTTCTCTTAGCTCTTTGCCATGTTTGAGTCAAAGTTTAGAGAGCAAAATGGTTTTTCTTTCATACATACTTTGTTTTATGACATTGATTGCAATCACTCCAACAGCACTTCCTATTTCTATTCCTCCTCCATTTCTAACTTCTTTTTCTTGAGAACAGGAACAAGACTTGGAATCCCTGTCTCTCAGGAGAAAAATCCCACTGGGCCTTTAGTTCCTTTTGTTTATCATCTTTGTCCCCATCACTGCTGTCAAAAGTGCACCAGACACTGCAGTGAGGGGAAAAGGATTCTGGGCCAATTAGGTATCTCTATGGGGAAAATGAATCTTAATCACTACCTCACAGCATATATGAAATCCATGCCAATGGGCGGCAAATATAAAGATGACAAAGAAAATAATAAAGCTTTAGAAGATAATGGACCTTGGAGTAGACAAAGATTTCCTGAATAGGACAAAGAAAATGCCTACCATGAAGGGGAGAGGGGAAGGTAGACAAACTTGTAGTAAGATTATGGAATTCTGTTTTCAAAACACATCATTGAGAAACTGAAAAGAATATCTAGAGTGGAAGAAATTATTTGCAAATATATAGAGTTGACAAAACTACATAAAAAATTCTTACCAAAGTAAGAGAAAGATAGATCACCTAATAGAAAAATGGTCAAAACACTTGATGGGACCTCCTAAAAAAGGCTATTTAGAGAGCCTATAAAAACACTGAAAAAATGTACTCAGATATTCATCAAAAAATGCAAATTAGATACTAAGACACACTCGCTTTAACAAATGATATTAAAAAGACCAAAAAATCCAAAGGTTGCCAAACACACAGGGTAACCCAGAAGTCACGTACATTGCTAACATTATTAGGTTGTGTAAAGTTGATTTCTGACCCCCAGGGATGTAACAGAGAGGTCCTGCATGTGGTTTTCTAGGATACCATCATTATGGGCAGGAGCAGATCTCTAGGTCTTCCTTCAGGTGTCCATGTGGGGACAATGTAGTTTTGATCATTACCTCACACCATACAATGACCCACACCAATGGGCTGCAGGTGAAAGGTGAGAATGAAAACACAGAGCTGCCAAAATGGGCAGGAACTAGCTTGGGTTAACAGCCAAGGCCTTAACCGTTGCACTACCAGGGCTCTATACTGATGAGGACATCACTTTGGAAAACTGGTTTTGCCATAACTACTAAAATTAAAGTCTAACCCAGGGTCCAGAACTTGTTGCCCAACAGTAAAGTTAAGAATATTCATCAAAACACACAACAGAACAATTTATACAATTTGTACACAACAGAACAACTTCTAACTAGAAACTACCCAGACGTCCATCCAAATGAGCTTAGACAAACTGCAGCATATTCACACTATTGTATGGATATTGCTCTACTGAACGTTATACATCAAAAAGCAAATTATGACTATAGGTAACATTATGTTGCTGTTATTGATGTTGTGCATTGTCAAGTCAAAACTGATCTGTAGCTGACCCTCCAGCGGGTTTTCAGAGGTAGTTAATTTCATGGGAGGACACTTCACCTTTCACCTGTGATACAACTGGTGGATTCGAACTGTATACTTTTGTGTTGGCAGCACAATTCCTTACTACTAAGCCATCAGAGCTCCCCAGGCAACAATATAGTTGTCTCAAAACATAAGGCTCAGTGAGTGAGGCAGGCTGAAGGGAAAATACTGTTAGGATTCTATTCCTATCAAGTACAAAACTAACCTACACTGGTTGACAGCTAGGGCAGCAGTTCTCTGTGGGAGCAGTGACCAGGGAGAGGATGAGGATGCTGGAAAGTTCATTTAACCCATGAAGCCAATTCATTTGAGCCTGAGCTGAAGGAATCAGGAAGGAAGAGGTGGTCCATCACACACTGCAATGGAGATTCTGCTGGTACCATTCCCAGTTTCCTAACAAAAAGTCCCCTATGAGTCAGCTCTGCTGGCCTCCCACACACAAGGCAGCGTCCAGAGCAGACGAGGCTCAGCCAAAGAATGCCCACAAGGGCCGGGGAGTCGTGCTGTGATTTGCCCTGGCTGCAGTCGCCACGTCAGGAGCCTTTAAAGTACCGAGTAACTCTTCATTCAACCACCCAAACTCGCAAATAGCTTATTTTAACTAATCAAGTAGCCTGTCTGATATTGGTAAGTTTGCATGTACACACACACACAGTGCTTCTAATTTATCAAGCCCATGGCTAAGCAAAAGGCTCACAAAAAACTATTAGATGGCTTCTACACTTTCTATGGGGCCCCAGCTGTGCAGAGGGGGGGGGTCCCCAAAGCCTCACAAAGCCCTCATACCTTGCTTCCTGCAGAGTTCTTAGTTTGAGACTTACAGCTGTGCCCATGACAGATGTCCTTCCTAACCTGAGCAGCTGGGTGTTACCATTCTGAAGTATGGGGTTTGCCCAACACTTCCCCCAGTCAAACAGCTCTGTCTGGCTCCCAGTCTCTCTTCTCACCCTGGTGCCCATGTAAGCCAGCTGGCAGATGGGGACTTGTTTCTGAGGCTCAAAGTACAACAGATGGCAACATCCTCTCCTCCATCTGAGCCCAAGAAGCAGCCATTCCTGACTGGACCTGGCATACAAGCACCAACGTGCCAGCCCCTACAGTGGCCACCAGGGCTGGGCCTATGTGCTAACGAGTCCCTGTTGGATGGGGTCGGGGGACTCTACAGCCGCAGTTTTTGGTAAAATAGTCAATCCTGCAATTTCTGTCCTCAATTTCTCTAACTCTGTTTTGTTTCCAATTACACATGTAATCTAAATTCACTGGAGCAAAATTCCAAAGTACAGATAAATGTATAATCTCCCAGCACTGAGAAATAAGCATAACAGCCATTTGGGGGCACAAATATGCTTCCCAGATATATAAAATTTAAAAACTAACAAAAACAGGATGAGATGATGTCATCGAGTAGATACTTTTCCCTGTTACTAACTCTAACCAGGCCTCTGTGTGGATTTCAGTCATCTGTTAGGACATTCAGACTGTGTCCTGATTTCTCACCATTCAAAGAAGCCACGAGGAGTATCCTAGAACAAACGTCTCTGCTTACTTATCCAGTTATTACCCTGAGGATATATCCTTAGATGCTCTCGATTCTCATTTTCTGATATCCCAAGGGCCTGTATCACCTTAACACGGAATCGCCTCTTAACTTGAGCCAAACAACAGGCTGCTGTTCTGTTTTGCCGCCGCTCACGCTGCAATCAAGAAAGAGGTGAGCGCCTGCTTGTGGTGCTGAACACACAGCAGACACTCCACCTTCTAATTCCTTCCCTACATTTCATTAACTTTGGGGAGGACGCTACACAGCAGACGAAAGCCCTCACCCTCATGGAACGTCATCCAGGCAGAGTGTTTTGTGCTGTTGTTGGGCCCCGTTGAGTAGGGACCAACTTATAGCTGAATGTCCAGCAGGTTTTCAGAGTCAGTAAATCGCACGGGATTTGAATGCCTATCTTTCTCTCTTGGAGCAGCTGGTGGATTCGAACCGTGTACCTATGAGATGGCAGCGCAATTCTTTACCACTAAACCACCAGAGGTCCCCAGTGTTTAGGTAGTAAGTTCTATTTCATTTCTACTCTTTATTTCTGTGCAGTTTCCAAATATTTTTCAATATGGTGTAGAATTATTTATGAAAGTAAATGCAAATCTGTTGATTCCTACTCACAGTTGACCGTGTAGACAGTAGAATTTAGATCTCTTAAGGTTTTCAAAGCTGTAAATCATTATGGAAGCTGACTGCCTCATTTTACTCCTTTGGAGCAGCTGTCGGGGACCTTCTGGTTAGCACATGAGCATTTAACTACTCTAATTCTTATGAAAAGAACACACACAAAAAAACAAGTACAGAAATATAAACTTACTGAATTCTAACTTATCCATTCTTTCTTTCTTGGAACGTAACATTAAATGCCAACATTTTCAATGCTAAACACATGGATATATTCTCTCTATGAATGACATGGGAAGGACTCTCCCAGGTCTCCTCAATCTCACCGAGGGCCTGTGGGCCCGCTCTTGGGAAAACTTACCTTGTACTGAAGAGAGCAGCCTTCACGGCAATGGAAATGGCATCAAATAAATTTCCGCCACATTCCAGCAGCTGAGGACGGCAGGGAGAGAGGAAAGAGGGAAAACAGACATGAGTTGTTACTTGCAACTGTATCCAAGTCCAAGGAGATGAATTCTTAAGTAATGTTAATTGAATGTGTCTTTATAACATAAAGAGAAGACAGTGTGGCTGCTTTTCTGGCAGGACCCTTGTCCTGCGCTGGACACATCTCACTGCTGCTCACAGTGTAGTCACCTGAACCGCAAGCACCTTTTCCTGGCTGTGCTGATATGCACTGTAGCATGACAGTGGCCGGGCTCCTCCTGGAGTACCTGTCATGCAGGCCCATGCTCGCTGAGCGTCTCTGAACCCAGGCCCTCTGGCCAGCTGACTGATTCTGTGCTAAAGGAGACCCCGATGCCTTGAGTTGGCCCCAGTGCACTGCAAGTGTTACCCCACGTGGCTACCATGCTGCCTGGCTCCAAAGAAGTAAAACACAGAACGCATGGATGGTGCCGTTATCAGGTTTGCTGTTTGTCGAGCACAGACGGTCAGAGCATGTTATTAAACCACAGATGGCAGCTTGTTCTGGCCTCCTTTTAGAAATGTCTTGGTCTGGGCTTATGACAAGGTTAACTGAGTTGCCCTAAGTTTTATTGTTTTGTTTTATTTTAAAAAAGCAGAGGAAATCATATGTAGAAAGGAAAGTGAAGTATTTCTTTGTTAGCATTTACTTAATTATTGGTAGTACAAATGATTAATGTGCTTCACGGCTAAATGAAAAGCTTGTAACTAGAGTCAATACGGAGCAGCTTTGGAATAAAGTCCTGGTCATCTTCTGAAATATTTGCCACTGAAAATAACAACAGTTCTACTCTGTCATCCACGTGTGTGTGTGTGTGTGTGTGTGTGTGGTGTGTGTGTGTACGGGGGGTGTGTGTGTGTGTGTGTGTGTGTCACTGTGTGCTGGAATCAACCTGAGGCAGCAGGTGGTTGTTGTGTTTAGTGTATTCTTCTTCACCTGAATCATGAATTCCCGAGAGCCAAACCCCTGTCAGTTTTGCCCCATCCTGTCACCCCCCAGGGCCCAGGAGAAGGGCTGCCCCGCACAAGGAGCCTGGTAATTACTTACAGAAAACAGCCAGGTCCTAGGCCTGGGCCTTGCCCACTTGATTAAGTCACAGCTAATAATTGTACCCGAACACTTCACTCATACTTGTCATTAACACCCAGTGCACATCTCCAATTCCTACGTGTAGGTTTTCCAGGTTGACATCAAGCCCAGAGAGCCCTCTCTCCTACAGCCTCGCACGCTGCGTCCCCCACGATGACGCCACCTCATGACAACCTTACGAGCAGCAGGCAAGACACTGCCTGATCCTGCACCACCACCTGGTACTAACATGTTGTTGTGATGCACAGGGCTTTCATGGCTCATTTTCAAGAGTCGATTGCCAGCCCCTCTTAGTCTGGAAGCCCCACTGAAATGGATCCACCACTGGTAATCTTGTTTGTATTCAAAATACTAACAAGGGGCAAAGTTTCCAGAATCCCAGTTGCACAGAAGACACCACAACAGAACAAACTTCCAGGTGGTGGCCAGTCTTGCAGAACGCTGCTTATGAGATGCCATCAGTCCCTTTGCAATTGCAGCCCACTCAGTTAGCAACTAGCCGAGCTGTTCTCTCCTGTGGACCTGATGTACAGTGAAGGGATTCCCGGTCAGAGTCGGACTGCCTGGATTTGACTCCTGTCTTCAGCAGCTAGCGGCGTGACCCCCAGTGACACTAACCTGCCTGCGTCTCAGGGAGAACCACACTTACCTCACAGAGTTGGTATGAAGACTGAATGAGATCATATTCACAAAGCCCTGAGAAGTGTATCTGGCACTGAGCTAGTGTTAGCTAAGCATTTTTAAATCAGTACTGACCCGCCTCTCATTTCCCAATGGCTGTCCCTTGGAGACTTTCTGGGGTATTTGCTACATGCTCTCCACATTCGTTATTGACAGCAGAGGTCTCTAACTCTGCATAAGTCACCTGGGAGCTCGGCAGGCCTGGAAGCTGTATTTTATTCTTATCTCCAGGTGCCCCTGACCATCAGCCAAGGCCAAAGCCTGCTGTTTCATGCTCAGAGCTTCAAACTGGTTCATTTTAGTTTTTCAAATTGGCTCGCTCCTGCTGGACCCCCCTGTTAAGAGTTTGCATTGCCATTCCTCAAAGCCCGCTATCTTTGAGTCAATTCTGACTCGTGCTGACCCTGCATTGGATTTCTGAGGCCAGAAATTCTGTAACTCCAGCCAGAGTCTGCCCCAACTTTCTGGTGAGGTGCGGCTGCCAGGTTTAAACTGCCCCCCTTTCAGTCAGCAACTCCACAGAAGCCCACATTTTAACAAGATGCCTGGATGGTTCACATAGATTTCCATGTGATTTTTATAGACCTACAGATCTTGCTAAAACGTGCGTTTTGATCAGTATCGCTGATGTGGAAGCCAAATTCTAATCAGGCAGTTGAATAGCAATGAAATGGTTCAAAGCCCTTGTTTGTGCCTTGCTGTTTCAAAGTGTTTGCTGCATGCAAAGAAAGTGCTAGAAAAGTGCTGGTTTCTGCTCAGCTGCCGTGAACCTTGCCGGCCACCGTGAGCCCCGGAGAGGCCCTCGCACCGCCCTTACCTAACAGCTGGCACAGTAGCCCGATTCCCACTCTGGGGCTCTTTCTACTGTCCTGGGCTGTGTTCCAATAAGACTGGACACACACTAATTTCCATCACTGGTACCGTGGATGTCGTCAAGGTGAGTCCGACTCCTAGCTGACGTTCCCCAGCAGGTTTTCAGAGGCTGTAAATCACGTGGGAGGGGCTTATCCATCTTTCTCTCACACAGCAGCTGGTGGATTCAAATCACCTGCCTTCGCATTGGCAAAGCAACTCCTTCCTCACTAGGCCACCTGTGCTCCATATTCCTTCACTCAGAGATGAAGAGGGCAGAATGCAATATCCTCGGCACCCACTGACTTGTCACTAGAAGTGCAGGTGCCTGTTAGCTTTATTCCCTCCACAGGCAGCAAAGGAATGAGGTCTGCAGACCACAGGGCTGCCTGCCAGACTCCTCAAGGGCACCACATAAGGGACGCAGGTGCATCTGGAATCAGGCAATGTGGTCCTGATACTCGTCTCTGCCCCCTGCTGGCTACGTGTGTGCTGAGCTTCAGCTTCCCCCTTGGTAAAGCACAGCCGTATTTCTCTACAGGGCAGCTGTGAGAGGGTGGGATCACATCCCAAATGCCCAAGCATGTTGCAGGTACATATACTGCTAGTTTCCTCCTTCCACTGCCAAGCAGGTGCAACCTGGCAATAACCTTTTTGTTAAAAATGTCATTCAGTGAGGAATTAGGGAGGAGAGCAGGAGAGAGATGGGAGATTTTTTTCCTATAAATTTTACATTACTGCTCTGGTGGCCTAATGATAAGGAGCTACACTGCAATCCCAAAGACACAGAGTTTGAATCCACCAGCTGCTCTATGGAAGAATGGGCAATCTCCCCCCATGCTATGTACTGCCTCTGAAAACCCAGAGGATCAGCTAGAGTTGGTTCCAGCTTGATGGCAAACAACAACAACTCTTAACAGCTCTATGGATCTTGGAGAAGGTACAGCCTGAGTGCTGCCTGGAAGCACAGATGCTTAAACGTCACCTCACATACTTTGGGCACGTTGTTAGGAGAGGCTATTCACTGGAGAGGGACATTATGCTTGGGAAGGTGAGGGAGAGCAAAGGAGAGGGAGACCCTTGACCTGGTGAATTGACAGTGACAGAGGTAACAGGCTCGAGTGTCGAGATTGTGAAGACAGCACGGAGCTCAGATCTGTTATACACTATGAGTTGTACTTTACTCGATGGCACTTAACAACAGAGGGGAGGTAAGTGGAATGCCAGGAAGAAGTGAACCATCTGATTGTTACAGGCTTTTTAAGTTTCACTTGTTTGTTTGTTTAAAGTCAATGTGTCTGTAGTATAAAAACATGGACAGGTGCCCAGTAAGTATCTGCTTAAAAGGAAGCTCTGCCTAAGCATGACTCGGACCCAGCCACCCATCGCCACTGAGCTGGTTTCAATTCACTGTGACCTGGAGGACAGGGCACAACTGGGTCCCAGGGATCTTCTCACACTGTGTTCTTCCAAGAGATCTAAATGCCAGGAATCTTAAAAAGGGAGGGAGGTCTGCAGGTGGCAGGGACACAGTGGACACTACTCCCAGACATGCCCACTCACCAGACATCCCTGCTCATTCAAACTTACCCTGATTCTGAACTGAGACAAAGCCCCTGCTGTTAAAAAGGTTGGAAAAGCCCTTCAATACTAGGACAATCTTCTGTTGTTTGAGTTGAATCAAAACTGCAGCAGTCTCCACTACTGGGCCATCTCCCCATAAAATTACCAGTGTGCACAAACCTGGTAGGGGAGTCCAGCAGGACCACCAAGAACCGATGCTTTTCAAAGACAGGAAGCTTGCATCTTTAACATCACCAAGGACCACTAAGGATGCTTTTCAGAGACAGGAACACTTGCATCTTTAACACTGAGTGTACGTGTGGTGGGAGGTGGTGAGGTACAGTGTTCCTGGACACAGGGTGGACTGTGACAATGCCCATTCCTGGGGAGCTATGAAGCCTGTCTTGTATAGGTCAGGTGCAGAGACTCCCAGCTCCTGCCTGCTGGAAACGAGGACCTGAAAAATGAACTAACCTGGCAGGCCCCATACTACAAGGGACTCCATGTATAGTGATAATAAAAAACCAAATAGCACTTGAATAACATTATATTCACCAGTAACACAAACATTCAGAATAGAGTAGCCCTAATAAAAGCTGTTAGATGCCAGTAATTGGTGATATCGTTTAGCTTTCTCAAATGAATTTTAAAAGATCCAGAAAGCCCTGTGTCACCTGGAGCCAGCAGTTAGGACAATGAGGCTGTTCTTCATGAAGTTATTACAAGTCCACCAGACCTGCTTTCTGGCTTGATTCATCACAGAATCTGTGTGGTCAATGGCTTAGACTCCTGTCTCCACTTAAACTTCATCTCACATACTTGTCTCCATGTGAGGTGGAAGATATAATTACTAATTTCAGGGTCCATAAAATTTAATGAAAAGAAATAAGATAGACCCAACAAGAGCCTGTATTTGAGCTAGCGATTGACTGTGACACTAATAGACAAAACCAAAATGACAGACATACAGCTGTCAAGTGCAAGAAACTGGGGAGAGGAGTGTTTGGGAGAGAAAGCACTGGAGAATGGAGGGCTTGGACCAGATCAACAAAGTCTCCCATATTCTGCAGGAAGGAAGAGGCAGGGTCTCAGCATGTGACCTGGGAAATGAGGGCTCAGAGTACGCAGGCCCCAGGCTCCCTTCAGGGGAGAATGGCACAGTGACAGCAAGAACTGGGGGGTGTGAAAGGAGAGAGGAGAAAGTAAAAATTAACAGATAAATAACAAGCTGAAGGAAGGTTAAGGGGGAGAACAGGTATAAGGAAACAGGCTTTGAGACCCCACCAGCTGAGGGCCCTCGGGCTAGTTTCTGAGCCTGCCTCCACCCCTCACTTAGGGGAAATGAACACGGCTCACTTTTGAAACACTGGTAAGTTTTAGTAAAAAAAAAAAAAAAATCACATAAAGAACTGTCATCGCCCTCAGCAGAAGAATGCGCCAACTTGTCTACATTCTGCGTGGCAGTGCCCTGCTCTCCCTCCCTGACAGCTTCTGTGGCTCACACAAGGAGCTGTCGTGGAACGACTGTAGTGTCAGGATGCTGTTGCTGTGGGCCGTCGAGTCATAGCCCGCCCACAGCTGAGCTTCCAGCGTGTCTTCATAGGTTGTAAACTGCACGGGAGTTGACTGCTCGTCTTTCTCGGCAGAGCACCTGGTGAATTCGAACCATGTATCTCTGGGTCGGCAGTGCAGCTCCTTACCACGAATCTCAGTATGTTGTTGGTTTCAGGTGCCATCGAGTCAAGTACGATTCATCGCAATCCTGTGAACAACAGACCTGAACCCTGTCCTATCCTGTGCCGTCCTCATCATCTGATACACTGAATTCTGTGTCACTGTGTCAATCCACCTCCCCCAGGGCGGGGCCGTCCCCTCTTTCACTGACTCTCCACTTTACCAAACATGACATCCCTCTCCAAGGATCAGCTCCTCCCAGCAACATCTCCAATGTATGAGAGGCGAAGCTTCACCATCCTTGGCTTCCATATTTATGTTACTAGACAAATGTTAAATGTTAAGGGGGCTCTGGTGGCTTAGTGCCCAGGAGTTGCGCTGCCAAACCAAAGGCACATGGTTCGAATCCACCAGCTGTTGTGTGGAAAAAGGATGGACAGCCTCCTCCTGTGCAACTTAAAATCTCTGAAAATGCACTGGAAGATTCAGGATTCAGTTCTGATTGATGGCACCTAACAACACCACCACCACCAAGGTTAAGGCAATCTGGTGGGGCAGCCCACCGTATGTCACACTGTTAACTAAAAGGTGGTGCATCTCTGGCGATTCGGATCCACTGCTCGGGAGAAGGATGTGCAATCTCCTCTCTTTAAAACGTGCAGCCTCAATATCAACGCAGGGTCACTGTGAGTTGGAATCAACCCAATGGTGGTGACTCAGGGGGTTTTAATGCAACTGTTACATTTAATAAAAAAAAAAATCATGACAGCCAGCTATCTTTTTCTCCAACTAACCTTGCTCTTGAAATCCAAACATCACCCCCCCACACCCCGAAGCAGGGAAAAGCAGCGGGAGCAAAGCTGGCCAGGTGGTCTCCTACAGGAGAGTGTGGCTGGCCTGGTGACGTACACTCACCAGCACGTCCACGTAGAGGATCCAGCAGTGCTCCCGAGGACTGATGCACAAGGACTTCAGGTCAACGCTGCTTTTATTGTTAAATATCCGGTAGAGCGTGTTAGCAATCTCAGTGCCAAGGTCATCGCCTCCTCGACCTTCAAATTCAGGAGTGGCACTGGCCGAGCTACACGGAATGGACAGAAAAGCAGAGTGAGTCCTTCCAAATGGACAGTACAAAGAGCTAAGGCTTGATCCCAGCTTCCCCATGCAATGCTGGGAGAGCCAGCGGCTACCAGGAGAGTCTCTCAAACACGAAGAGGAGGGCATCTTCCATGTTTCAGACTTCGACACACACTGCGCCCTGGATCTGTCCGTGGGATGGACATTCTCACTCACCAGCACTGTGTCCTGGATTTGTGTGTGGTGTTAGTGCTCGCTCACCACCATCGTGCCCTGGATCTG